TGACATTTCACCTAAATTTTTACTCCACCCTTTAACTGTTCCCCCTACTTACAGCCCCTCTCTATCCCAGTCTGTCCTACACACTGTGGCCAGGCGAGTTTCATGAACTCTGTTTAGATTGTCACATGGCCCAGAAACCAATGATGATTGCTCCTCATTGATCTTTTGACACTAAATTCCTGCCCCTCCATCATCTGGTTACAGCCTACCATTCCAACCTGCTTCTCTTTGTACGCTCTGTGCTAATTCACCCAGAATCCTGTTACTCCCCACATACAGCTCACGGTTTCTCATCTCTCTGCCTTGCTCTTTGTTTCTTCCAATCCCACCTTATTCACTGCAACTTCAATACCAAAATTCCATCCATCTTTCAGAGTTCACCTTGAGAACACCTCCCCATAAAGGCCTTAATCATCTCCACAGCAGGATATGATTGCTCCTTCTAGTAAAACCTGAGGCGTGGATTTTTACTTCTCTTCTTATTTATTCTCCATCTTCTCTTACTAGAGGTTCTCAATTCATTCTCAGAGTGACCTGCGATGCCTCTAAAATTGTATATGCCTGGTTCCCACCGCAGAGATTTTGACTCAGTAGCTGGAGTAGAGCTGTCTTAGTTCAGGCTGCTATAACAAAACACCAGAGACTGTACGACTTAGAAGCAACAGAAAAGTATTATTTTATTACAGTTCTGGAGGCTATGAGTCTGAGATTAGGGTGCCAGCATGGCTGGGTTCTGGTGAGGGCCCTCTTCCAGGCTGCAGATGGCCAACTTCTGGTTGTATCCTCACATGGAAGAGCTCTCTGGGGTCTCTTCTATACGAGCACTAATCCCATTCATTAGGGTTCCACCCTCAGGACCTAATACCTCCCAAAAATCCCACCTCCTAATACCATCACATTTGGTGTTAGGATTTCAACATATGAATTGGGGGTGGGGAGGACAACATTCATTTTGTAAGAGGAGCCTACTTATTTGTATTTTTAATACAGATTCTGATGCAGAGCCAAGGCTGAGAACCATCACCTTATTTTTAATTTGCCCTCAGTGAGAAAACAAAAGGGATTACTAGGAAGGAAGGCTAAATGGAAAGATAAGTTTGAGTCACATCTCTGAATCTCAGTTTCTTTATCTTTAAAATGGGGATAATAACCCTTCCTTCTCTGGGTTGTGGACACTTAATGCACATGTTTCTCTTACTTGATAGTAGAGGCTGCCAGCTCAGCACAAAGTTTAATAATAATTTAACATGTGAGATTTGAGCATAACCACGTATACTCTGTGCAGAGGGTGTAAGTCACACACAAATGTTCCCTGGCTAAACTGAACAGTGGGTACTAAAGGAAGCTCTACTGAAGTTACTTCATCCCTTGGTGGATTAACTTCAAAGCACTTCTCTTTCTGGAAGAGGAAATTTTCAACATTGCTAACTCATTCACTGAAGGGACGGCTGAACTAACACGGTCTAACTTCATCATATTCGCAACACAAAGAGGCCGCCACACTGGAGAAAGCACTTCTCTTTCTGGAAGAGGAAATTTTCAACATTGCTAACTCATTCACTGAAGGGACGCCTGAACTAACACGGTCTAACTTCATCATATTCGCAACACAAAGAGGCCGCCACACTGGAGAATTTGCACGGAGCTTTTCTATGTATGATCTCATCTGATCCCCTTCGTGCCCTGCGAGGGAGACATTAGTGTACCAGTTTTACAGATGTGGAACTTGAGCTTCAGAGGAACTTACAAGATTGGCCAAAAGTTGCATACATAGGAAATGGCAGGACGACAATTTGAACCAGTTACTTTGACTTCAGTACTCTACCCTTCACTACAACTGGCCCCAGCAATTATCCTGTTAACGTGATGAGGGTCTGTAAACACCCACCCTGATCATTAGAGTTCATGATGCAGAGGACATTTTGCCTGAGCTTATGTGAATCAAATGTGAAGCAAAGAAGCCACATGCCTCACTGGGAACTCCTCTGTGCTTACAGCACACTGTTCCCTACTGGAGCACAATCCCTGTTGGCAAACTCCTATTCATCCCTTGAGATTTGGGCACTTCATGTCCATGCCAGCTGGTTGCACCCGTTCCTTATTTCACAACTAAAGAGAAAAAAGACAATCTGTGCAATCAGTTTTATCTCTTGGGGCCTATCAAGTAAAACTGAACCATAAAAATACAGTGCACTGCGTCTGCTGTGCAACAGCACATCAGATGGTAAGAATGGGCTCGGGTCTATGGGAAGGGAGTACTGGGGAGACAGACAGATCCTCCACTGCTTTGCATGCTGTCTGTTCAAAACTAAATTGCCTCCCTCTTCTTAACTTGCTCTAAAACTCGTGTTATAGGGAACAAAGCCTTCATTTAAAAAAATTTGTTTGTTTTTTTCTAGCAAGAAATCTGCTTAAAAGGCAAATAACCAATAAGTCATATGGAGGTGTAAATAACTGATAGTTGGTCTTTTGGTGAGAGGTCCTGTGAGAACTCTGGGTCCCAGCAATCAGAAGGGATAAGACACAGACACCATGGAGGCAGATGGGGGTCAGGTGTGGGGAAAGGATTCAGAAAGCACAAGCTGGAGTCCAGAAAGCAAACACAGCCTTCTCCACCACAGCACCAGGGCTCAACCTGTTGTCAGGGATCCAGACCCAAAAATCCCATTTTTTTAACACAGCATTTATATTAACACTGAAGAACTGAGTTTACCAAAGTTTTGGATTCTCATCTAAATCACTTGCCATTAAGTCAAGAAGAAAGTGTGCTTATAAGCCTTGTAAACAAGCCAGTGCATCAAAATAACTCAACATAGGGGTAGACCCATATTAAGGCATTTTNATCCCTTGGTGGATTAACTTCAAAGCACTTCTCTTTCTGGAAGAGGAAATTTTCAACATTGCTAACTCATTCACTGAAGGGACGCCTGAACTAACACGGTCTAACTTCATCATATTCGCAACACAAAGAGGCCGCCACACTGGAGGATTTGCACGGAGCTTTTCTATGTATGATCTCATCTGATCCCCTTCGTGCCCTGCGAGGGAGACATTAGTGTACCAGTTTTACAGATGTGGAACTTGAGCTTCAGAGGAACTTACAAGATTGGCCAAAAGTTGCATACATAGGAAATGGCAGGACGACAATTTGAACCAGTTACTTTGACTTCAGTACTCTACCCTTCACTACAACTGGCCCCAGCAATTATCCTGTTAACGTGATGAGGGTCTGTAAACACCCACCCTGATCATTAGAGTTCATGATGCAGAGGACATTTTGCCTGAGCTTATGTGAATCAAATGTGAAGCAAAGAAGCCACATGCCTCACTGGGAACTCCTCTGTGCTTACAGCACACTGTTCCCTACTGGAGCACAATCCCTGTTGGCAAACTCCTATTCATCCCTTGAGATTTGGGCACTTCATGTCCATGCCAGCTGGTTGCACCCGTTCCTTATTTCACAACTAAAGAGAAAAAAGACAATCTGTGCAATCAGTTTTATCTCTTGGGGCCTATCAAGTAAAACTGAACCATAAAAATACAGTGCACTGCGTCTGCTGTGCAACAGCACATCAGATGGTAAGAATGGGCTCGGGTCTATGGGAAGGGAGTACTGGGGAGACAGACAGATCCTCCACTGCTTTGCATGCTGTCTGTTCAAAACTAAATTGCCTCCCTCTTCTTAACTTGCTCTAAAACTCGTGTTATAGGGAACAAAGCCTTCATTTAAAAAAATTTGTTTGTTTTTTTCTAGCAAGAAATCTGCTTAAAAGGCAAATAACCAATAAGTCATATGGAGGTGTAAATAACTGATAGTTGGTCTTTTGGTGAGAGGTCCTGTGAGAACTCTGGGTCCCAGCAATCAGAAGGGATAAGACACAGACACCATGGAGGCAGATGGGGGTCAGGTGTGGGGAAAGGATTCAGAAAGCACAAGCTGGAGTCCAGAAAGCAAACACAGCCTTCTCCACCACAGCACCAGGGCTCAACCTGTTGTCAGGGATCCAGACCCAAAAATCCCATTTTTTTAACACAGCATTTATATTAACACTGAAGAACTGAGTTTACCAAAGTTTTGGATTCTCATCTAAATCACTTGCCATTAAGTCAAGAAGAAAGTGTGCTTATAAGCCTTGTAAACAAGCCAGTGCATCAAAATAACTCAACATAGGGGTAGACCCATATTAAGGCATTTTGTTTAGTAAAAAGAGGGGAGGATTTGATATCACCTGTAAAATGGAGATAATAGCATCTCCCTCCCAAGGCTGCATGAGGGCGGACTGTAATACATGTACAGTATGAATGTCTGGGACATCATAAATATTCAGCAAATGTTTCTTGTCATCATCAGTACTGCTCTCACTGTATTTTCTGTGAAATATTGAGCTTACAGATTGGTGATTTTCCAATACACTGATGCCAAAGCCACATCCTCCAGCAGGTGCTCTGGGACCCCCATGCAAAGCCTGGTTCATGATAACATGCTCAGGCACACGATCTACACACAGTGAAGGTGGACAAACACAGAGACTCTCTACCTGGGCTCCTTGGTCCCAAGATACCTATAACTCTCTAACAATATTCCCCTGCAAAAATTAATACAGCTTTTGCATCTTACATTGCCAGAAAATGTAAACTCATTACTTCAGGATTAATCTCCTGTTCCTTTTCCTTGACCAGACAATTTTGCAAAAGGAAATATTTAACTAAAAACCCCAAAAGCAAAGAGTAGAAAATTATACTACTTTTCTGTTTAAAGACTACCCCATTTTCAGGTACTCAATCATATTATAAAATTGCAAAACTGTCAGAGTGTAATTAACCTGTGTTGCTTCATATTCCTGATGCAGCAATTGTTTAAGGCATGGCTTTATAAAAGCCCAAAAGAGAGCGGTGAATGACACATGATGCTGTGAACCTCGGGGTACCTGCCAGAAAAAGGGCCCTACCCAGAGGGGCAGAGAGGAAGGCCAGGAGAGGTAGTGTTTGCAGAAAAGGTCATGTTCTGTCTAAAGACACTTCTGTTTCTGCTCTTACTCCACATGCAGCTTTCCAAGGCCTTTCCAGTATCTTCCAAATACTCAGAAGAGAAAAATGCAAAAATTGTCCAGGTAAATGAACTATCAATGAGATGGGGGGTTGATTCCCTGATTGTTAAAAAATTATGGAGGTTGTTTCTCTTAGGTAAAACAGCCTGAAAAAATTATCTGGGTGGCTTGCTTCAGGGTCAACATCTCCTTTCAGTGACTAGGAGGGTTCCAAGCTGGCAAGGACTGGGTCCTCTAAAAGCTGGATATGAAAACAAGCTGGACTCTTCAGTGCCTGGGAAAATCCTGCTACAGAGCTGCCTCCAGCTGGGGAGCCCTTTTAGAAGGAATGGGGTTTTTTTTATAAAACAAAATGATTTTCTTTCTCACTTACCTAAGATTTTTTCTACCAGTATATCTTCTACCCAGTTACTGCATGCCCAGTGCTTCCTATATGGATTTTTTACTTGCAGCCAAAAATCTTAGGTGTAGAAGAGAGCGTGAGGATGGGAGATTGTAATGATCTAGAAATCAGTTCATAGTGTAATCAGGTTTCCTAGCACCAAATTGTGGACTGTTTCTAAACTCTTGGATGCATTATAAAAGCAGAATTAATAATATTTCCTATTATTTCACAATATGAAAGTCAGGCCAAATTTTTAAGAAACAAGAAAATGCTGTCACAGATTTCTCATGCATTATTTTCTTATCATTACAGTTTATTATTCCTGTTGGTTTTGTTTTTGTTTTTGTTTTTGTTTGGATATCTCTTAAAATGTTAATAGTAACCTCTAGGATGATAACTAGAGTATATCGAGTGCTTACTCTGTTTAAGTCACCCTCGACCCATTTCACAAACATTATCTGATTTTGAAGAGGGCATTTACTTTCATTTCAGAGACAAAAGTTAGTCTTAAATCAAATAATATGTCCAAGTACTCACAGTTAATCCATAGCAGAGCTAAGATTTGAACCCAAACCTGTCTGATCCCAAAGTATGTGCTCTGTGTCACCTANGCAGAGCTAAGATTTGAACCCAAACCTGTCTGATCCCAAAGTATGTGCTCTGTGTCACCTACAGAGTGTCAGTGCCAGGTGTTCATAGGCTGCATAAAGTGAGATAAAGAGTCTTATAATTGTCTTGTTAACAGCCCTAAGAACCTTTACTTTCAAATGAGTGTTGGTCCCTTCCAAAGAGTTACCTTGGTGAGTAAAATACTAATTTCAATGATGCTCTTAATACCCCCAAACATATCTAGAGTTCTTCTTTTGAAATTATCAATTCTGATTTGAGAGGCAGCATGGTGAATTGGGACCTGAATTGTCGCTTAGCAAGTTCCTCATTTCTCTGTGTCTCCATTTCTTCATGAGGATGATTAAACCTTCTGTACAGTGAAAGGAGGATTAAAAAAGAGAATCTGCATTAATGCAACTAATAACTCAAGAGAAGTCAATAAATGCTAGTTCTAATTTTTTTTGGTAAAAATAAGAAGGCAGTCTCATGAATGTATAGTTCATGTGTGACTTGGTCCTTATCCCTTATGAGACACCTGTTTTTATGCATTAACATTAACTGGAACACTAAAATGGAGGGGCTGTTCTTTCTAACAGGTGTTGTTCTCTCAAAGTCAACCTACAAATTTGTGTTATTTTTTGTGTGGCTATCAGGTTATCATTCTTTGTTTCATCTCTGCAGTAACTTTTAAAGGACTGAAAAATGCCCCAGAAAACTGAAGGTAATTTCACAGCAAGGACTCTTATGAGTTTGTCTTTGTCCAGGATTACCTAGAAAAGTTCTATCAATTACCAAGCAACCGATACCGGTCTGCAAGGAAGAACAGCACTGGTATGATTGTTGAAAAGCTTAAAGAAATGCAGCGATTTTTTGGGTTGAATGTGACGGGGAA